TCTTTGTTTTCTTTTCCAATAACTTGAGGCAAGTTGAGGGGTTGAGACCTCTTAAAGAACAATCTTTCTCATCAATGGTAGAGAATTTTGTTATGCAAAGAGCATATTCTGGGCCAAGTCATCGTGGACGAGGTCACTAGGTAGCAAGTTCAAAATTGTTAAGCTATTGTTTTTCTTTAATACTTCATTTTTGGTCTGTATGTTTATAATTTTCTTCTCATAACTGTATACAATTCATTGATACAATGTAAAGAATTGGAGACATTAATATAACTAAATTTAATATGATTTGTACGTTTATGCTAACTTTTATTGTTGTAAACCTTCTTGCTCAAGGGAAGAAAAATCACGACCTACAGAATGTAGGATTTCAGAAACAACTTTCAGTAACTTCAAAGAGCGGTTTCATATTACATATATAGTACCTCAATCTCAACAATCACACACACACACACACATATATATATATATGGAGAAGGGACAAATATACCCCCGAACTATTATAAATGGTATGTCAATACCCTTTGTTATACTTTAGGGCTATTCATACCCTTACCGTTAATATTTTAGGTTGTGTATACCCTTGAGGTTAACGGAGGGACACGTGGCTTCATCTAAACAATTCGACTAAATTTATTTTAATTTTATCCATAAATTAAAAACCTACCCATATGACCCGCCCATGACCCATTTATCTTAAGCAAATTTGGATAAATAATGGCTACAGGATTTCGTCACTTTTATTTCCTTCACCATATTTTCACCATTGCTTCCCGGCCGGCTCTGACGTCGTGTGCGCCTCAAACCCAGGCCTCAACGCCGCCGCCATTGATGACAAACATAGAATCTTGACTGGCAATTGAAAAGTCAATTTTGTAGTGTCGAAGAGAGATTGATTAATCTGAGTTGGAGATATTGACTTTGACGGCAATGGGGCATGGGGAATCGGAGGTGGAAAAGCACCCAAGATCTCCCCAAGTCCATGTTGATTCCATCTGTGATCTACCTGAACTATATTTCCGGCGAATACAAGCAAAAAACGTCGGCAGCGAATCCAATTCTTAATTTCTCATACATTTCTGTAATTTCATTCATTCTCTGATCTTTGTTGTGTAATCACCATTCTCCATCGCATCTATGTTGAAATAAAAAGTTCCGATTTGCAAATGTTAGAGGGATGAATTTGATCACAAAGTTGGTGAAAAATAAAAATTGAAATTCGGTGCAGTATTCAATGAAATTATTTTAGTGCATTTGGGTGCTTTTGGGTTATGATTTGGGTATGGCCGTATGGGTTTTTAAATTATCAGGTCATGTGGGTTTGATTATGGGTGGGTTTTTAATTTATGGATAAAAATTAAAATAAATTTAGTTGAACCGTTTAGATGAAGCCACGTGTCCCTCCGTTAACCTCAAGGGTATAAACAACCTAAAATATTAACGGTAAGGGTATGAATAGCCCTATAGTATAACGAAGGGTATTGACGTACTATTTATAATAATTCGGGGGTATATTTGTCCTTTTTCCCATATATATATGTGTGAGAACCCTAGGCCCGTCTACGTGGCGCCACCACAAACTAGGATTCTCTTTTAATTTATTTATTTTCAAAACTAGCTTTCCCCTCCTCTCACCATATTACAAATTAAGCCTCCACCAAATCTTCCATATGCATAAATATCAGCCCCCTTTGAGCTTTTTTAAGAAACTGATCGCCAGATAGGAAGGAATACTATATCAAACTTAATTTTAACCAACTCGTACCAGAATGAAATAGTGGGCCAAACTATGTGAGTTAGTTGGCTCGGATGTATATATAACAATTTTACCTTGACAATTTTATTTTTAATTATGGAATTGTGTGAATGTTTCTCCTTTAATCCTATGTATACTTGCATTGTTCCATGCATTACTCTACCGTTTCTCCATTTTCTAACTTTACCTTTGGTGATTTGAGTTAATCATTTTTTTTGTCTATGGGTGGTACAATATAGATTGAAGGTCAATGTCATTTGTTAGAGCTTTGAATTGATATATGAAGTACACATTGTTGGATTTTAAAAGGTGTGATAAATATGAAGCGTTGCGACTTTCATGAAAAGTTGTGACTTTTATGAAAAGTTGCGCGACTTTTATGAAAAGTTGCGACTTTTATGAAAGGTTGTGACCTTTCCAAAGGGTTGTAATTTTTCCAAAGAGTTGTGACAATTTTGATAAGGCACAATAAGCATTTGTTCACACTAACCTTTGTTGTCTATAAATAGAGGGATTTCCTCTCATTTTAAAACAACGAAAGTTCTGAACTACTACTTCTTCTTCTTCTTCTTCTTCTTCTTCTTCTTCTTCTTCTTCTTCTTCTTCTTCTTCTTCTTCTGCACAATTAAATGTTCATATACTTTGCTCCTGTTGAGTGGCTCACTGACACCATTGTTTTTATATCAATACACTAGTGAATAAAATCGTTCTATCTTGAGAGGATCAATTCCTTTAAACCTCGGGTACTAGAGGTAAATAATTTCCTTAGGGGGACATTGTGTATTCAGTGGACTTGATTTTTTCCTCTGTGTTTCATTCTATTGTTACAGATCTTGGTATATTTTTTACAGTCATCAATTTATGCTTATGTTATTAATTGCTATTTTTGAGTACATGCTTTAAAATTTGTTGTTTATGTTTCTGCAAAGTTATTATTATATAAGTATTTGTTAGTACAGATAAATTGTTGAAGATACAATATGTACTACCATCTCTTGAAGAAAAAAAAAATCAAATTTGGTATGCCATTGTAAGGACATAAAGACCTTAAAAATCTTATCGCACCTTGATGTGCGAAGTGAACCAGGAAAAGAAGACAAGAATTAATTAACTTTTGACATGACTTCAAGGATGTTGTGTCGGATGACCTATAGAAGAATATGACTAGATTGGAGCCACTTTTAATCCCAAAGACATAGATAATTACACAATAAATTAATTGCTCATATTCAATATGAAGTATAGATAGATTCTCAATTTTATTGCAAGTTGTAAATATTTTGAACTTCATCAGGATTCCCTTTTAATTTATTTATTTCAAAACCAGCCTTCTCCTCCTCTCAAAAACCTTCACAACCGTCAATACCATCTTACAAATTAAGCCTATCTTCCATATATATAAATATGAGCCCCCCTTTAAACTTACTTAAGCAACTGATCGCCAGATAAGAACACTGGACCAAACTTAATCCTATGTATACTTGCATTGTTGCATGCATTAGTCTTTCTATCGTTTCTCGATAATCTTACTTTACCTTTGGTGATTTGAATTAATCATTTTTTTTTATCTAGGGGTGTTACAATATAGATTGAAAGTCAATTTCATTTATTAGAGCTTTGAATTGAAGTACACGTTGTTGGATTTAAAAGGTGTGAATGAAATATGAAGAGTTGTGACTTTCATGAGAAGGAGTGACTTTTATGAAAAGTAGCGACTTTTATGAAGAGTTTCGACTTTTATGAAGAGTTTCGACTTTTATGAAAAGTTATGACTTTTATGAAATGTTGTAACCTTTCCAAAGGATTGTAACTTTTCCAAAGAGATGTGACATTTTCGATAAGGCACAATAAGCATTTGTTCACATTACCCTTTGTTGTCTATAAATAGAGGGATTTCCTCTCATTTTAAAACAACGAAAATTCTAAACTTCTTCTTCTGCACAATTAAATATTTGTGTACTTTGCTCCTGTTGAGTGGCTCACTAACACTATTGTTTTTGTATCAATACAATTGTGAATATAATCGTTTTGTCATGAGCGGATCTATTCCTTTAAACCTCGGATACTAGAGGAGATTAATTTTCTTAAGGGGACACTATGCATTTAGTGGACTCGATTTTTTCCTTTCTGTTACATTCTATTGTTACAGATCTAGGTATGTTTTTTTACCATCATTAATTTTAATGAACATTTACTTGTTTCCCATCAAGAATGGTTCCATAGTTATGTTTGGGTAGGTTTAATATATTCTCTAAATAAGTTTCGATTCTTATAGTTTGTGAAAACAGAATATTTTTTAATCTTTGTTACTTACTCCCTCTGTCCCCTATTACTTGTCCCCTTTTGAATTGACACACCTATTAAGAAAATAATTAATGACATAGTAAGTTTACCATTTTACCCCTATTAATTATTAAGTGGTGAAAAGTTCTACATTTTTCAAAATAATTAGTCATTTAATTGAGGATATAATAGGTAAAAAGAATTTGTCTTTTCTTGATTTGTCAAAATGGACATGTAATTAGGGACAATTATAAAACGAAAAATGGATAAGTAATTAGGGACAGAGGGAGTATTTAATGATCTCAGATTAATTGATTTCACGAGAATCGAAAAAAAAAGTTAATGTTGACAAACTTTCAGAGGTTCATTTTTTGTGGTTTTCTGTTATTTTTGGTCTATTTTGAATGCCCAATGTAGTTTCTACTATTTTTTGTCCTATTTCAAATGTTCAAGTTCAGTTTTTTAGATTTGACGAGACTTTACAAGTTTTTTTGGTTAAATTTTTTTAATCATAGTTCTCACTAAATATAATAATAACCTTCATTTGTTAACTATTTTTTGTCCTATTTCAATTGTGTCTTTTGATCTTTAATTCAATCATAAAATAAAGCAAAACTTTGTGTGTACAATGCCCATATCCACATGGAGTATTGTTTTTCAAAACGGAGAATTTGTGATAGTAATAATGATGATACAGATATAGTCGACCCCAACTAGCTTGTGATTGTCCCGTAGTTATTGCTATCTAGAAAATGACAATTCAGGAAGAGATACATTTCTTGCTAAACGAAGAAACCATAGAAAACAGGGTTGGAAGCTGATGATTCTAGCCAGAGGCGGAGCCAGAATTTGTACCACATGAGTCTGGATAGATTATTTATACATACGAAATGGTTATTCAACACAAAATACATGGTTTGAGTGAAAGCTACCCGTGCCTATGGTGGCTCCGCCCCTGCTTCTAGTCCAAGTGCAACTTTATTTCAGGGTCCCCTGTTTGGTCATGGACTTGAGCAATCGCAGCAAGAGTCTGATACACTTGTTGCATCGTTGGCCTTTGATCTGGAATGAATTTCATGCAATCACTTGCAAGTTCAAGTAGCTGCAATACCATATTATCAAACCCTTGGCCTAACAATAGTGTGTCCACATCAAGAGGACTGGCAAATGAGCTGCTGGATAAATTTAGACTCAAGCAGCTCAACTGGTAAGATTCTTTTCTCGTTAAAAGCTCGAGAAGCACAACCCCGAAGTGATAGACATCTTTTTTGTATGTGGCAAAGTCTAAAGACTCGACTATTGGCAGTAGACTCAAATTTGAATCTATGACATTTGTTTTTGCAAGTGTTGCCTCCCAAAAATTGGATAACTTGGGATTGAAATTTTCATCGACCAAGATACATTTTGTGCTAATGTTACTATGCACAACATGGAAATTTCCACCATCATGAAGCCAAACCAGGGCTTTGGCGACACCAATAACAATTTTAACCCTTAGAGCAAAGTCCAAGAGTCTTGCCTTGTCTTCGGTTGAATGCAGCCACTCGTGTAAGTTTCCATTAGGCATGTATTTGTAAACCAGAAGTCGTTCATCCCTCTCAGAACAAAAGCCGATTAGAGGCACCAAATTCGGATGCCTCAGACTACCCAGAGTTGTGATCTCGGAAACAAACTCTTCCTCCAAATCCTCTGAAACATGGAGCCTCTTTATGGCAACAGTCCATCCATTTGGGACCAGTGCTTTGTACACTTTCCCAAGCATTCCATTCCCGATTTCATTGTCTTGGCTGAAATTTAAAGTCGCTTTTGATAGCTCCATAAAACTCATTCTTGTAACAATCTTCTCCAGTTCTAAAATCTGAGGAAAAGAACATATCTACCTTTAACACATTTTATTTCTCCAATATATCTGATATAGTTTGACTGGACACATTTTCTAGAAAACTTGTAGTCTTAAATGTGCCATAACACTTGTTTGGCAATAAAAGCTTGTCACTAAGAGTTAAAATTACTGTTTGCCATTCTTTGTGAAATGGAGATATTGTCACATAAATTGGAACGAATGGTGTACTTTATTTACGGGGTGTTCTTAAAGAAGGAAAAATACGGTTGAAAGCAAGCAAAATATAGTTACCTTTGTGTCGTTGTTTACTTCTTCTCGTTGACGCCATTCATTTCCATCAATCACCACTAACTTTGTTCTCTTCTTGATCCATAGTAGCATCTTCTTTACATTAGGTAAACCAAAGAAAAAAAGATATATACCAAGTAAAGTCGAAAATGACCAACCCGTCACAAAACCTTTAATAAAAATATTATAAAGGTTCAGTGCGCGTTCTGTAACACATAATTCCAAAGGACTACCACAAAGTCCTGGATTATTAGCATAACATTCAGCTGGAAAAGTGGCATTGACAAAATTTGGCACTGGCCCTGTCAACATGTTGTTGGCAACATTAAACGTCTTGAGTCGACATAAGGAGCAAATTTCAGGTGGGATTAGACCTTCTAGTTTATTGTTGTCTAATTTGAGGACATTAAGAAAAGAACAATTTGCAATGTTACTTGGGATCGCGCCTGAGAATTGATTACTCGAGAGATCAACATCTACAACATATCCAATTAATATTGATATATCCAAAGGGATGGTTCCATATAGCTCATTGCTTGAAAGATCAAGAGAAGTTAAAGAAGTGCAATTTTGTATGCCTCGCGGAAACGTACCTATTAGTCCCATGTTTGAAAGAGTAATGGATAAAACTTTAGTCTCATCAGGATGCCAGCATTGTATTCCTGCAAATTTGCATATAAAACCTTCTGTCTGATTATCGAACTTCCACGTTGAATTCAATAAATTTAAAGGGTCTTCCAACGATTGTTTTATGGATATCAAGCAATCAATGTCACTCTGCACCGCGTTGCATCTTAGAGAAAAGCTGCAAAGTAGTAGTACTAAGTAAAGAATGTTGCAGTTGCACATTGTGTGAATTAGAAACCTTTGCCTTAATTTGAAAGAGCATGGAATTTATTGAGTTATTTGCTTTGGCAATTGTGGCGTAATTTGCTGATTGATTTTTGAAAAATTGGGTCGATTGCACATAATTTCCAGCACATTTTTTACTCAACATCTTAGGTCAAGTCCGTACGATATGTTGTCTATATATTAGGCATAATACGTAAATATGACTCATAACTTGACTTCAGCCGATAAATAAACATTTAAATTTATATAAAATTGAACAAATAGACCCATTCGTCCTACATGGCAATTTTGTATCCTACATGGTGTCCTACGTGTATTATGTCATGTAGGATATGTGTGTCTACTTATTTAATTTTCTACAAGTTTAAGGATTGTTTGGTATGATATGTTTTCCAATTTTCTCATGTTTGGTTGGGTTAAATGTTTTGGAAAATATTTTCCAAATCAACTCATTTTCCTCAAATTTAAGGAAAATGACTTCCCTTCAAAACTTAAGGAAACATTTTCTAAAACTCTCTTCCAACTTCAAATTACAATTTTTTTTTGTTGAAAAAATCAATTTAATTTGTTCCTAACCTCAAACTAGCCCTCCAACCACCCCCCCCCCCCCCCTCCCCTCAAAAAACTAAATTTAAAACTTGTTTTTAAAAAATGTTTTTAACTTCAATTTTTTTACCCCACCCTCACCCCTACCTCCAGCCCCCTACCACCACCCTCCCCCCCCCCCCCCAAAAAAAAAGAGAGAAATATTAAAAGTTGTTTTTAAAAGATATTTCTAATTTCAATTTTTTTATCCCCCCTACCCTCGCCCACCCCCCCTCCACCAGCCTCCCACCCCCTTCAAAAAAAAAATTTAAGTTTGTTTTTAAAAAATATTTTCTACCTCATATTTTAATTTTTCACCCCTACCCTTGACCCTCCCCCCGCCCCCCCCCCCCTCCAAAAAAAAAAAAGATTTCAGTTTTCCATCCCTATCCTCGATCCCCCCCCTCCCACCCACCCCCCAAAAGAAAATGATTTGAGTTTGTTTTTAAAAAATATTTTCAACTTCAAAATTTCATTTTTTCACCCCTATCCTCAATCCACCCCCCAAAAAAAATTTAAGTTTGTTTTTAAAATAATATTTTCAACTTCAAATTTCATTTTTCACCCCTACCCTCGACCCCCACCCCCCGCCCCTACCAATCCCCTCACCCCCCAAAAAAATTTTAAGTTTGTTTTTAAAAATATTTTCAAGTTCAAATTTTTATTGTTTCATCCCACCCTCGACCCCCCCATCCATCCCCCCTATCAGCCCCCTCACCCACCCCCTAAAAAATTTTAAAGTTTGTATTTAAAAAATATTTTCAACTTCAAATTTTTATTTTCTCACCCCTACCTGGGTAGACCCCCCTCCCCCCGCCAGCCCCCTACCAGCCCTCCCCTCCCCCCCTCCCCCCCAAAAAAAACAAAATTAAGTTTGTTTTTAAAATATATTTTCAATTTCAAAAATTATTTTCTACTCTAGTAAAAATAAAAGATATTTGTCAAAAATATTTTTCATTCATAAATCAAACACTAGAAATCTTTTCTGGAAAATATTTTCTACTCACCAACCAAACATGAGAAAATAAGTCAAAAATCTACTTGTTTTCCAAGAAAACATTTTCTAGGTTAGGAAAACATTTTCCTTCATACCAAACACACCCTAAGTGTCTACTTGTGCACGCCCAAAGTTGGAGGGTATAGTTACATGTTGAAGCCAAGTTAAAGGTCATATTTATGTATTATGTCTCTTTATTATCTTGGTCCTTCCCCGAACCATACGCGAAAACTATTAGTTGAAGAAACAAGTCTTCGACGCCATCTTCTATTAGACTGCGTTGGCTATTAGTTTCAATTACACTTGAATCTAAAAGTGTGTCTCAATGATTAACTTATTACCTTTAGATCTGAATATTTCATGATTAAGACAATTTATTTTTTAGCATTTAAATGTACACGATTGATTTATTTTTAATTAGGAAAAGGATAAAAAATCATTATGAGTTATGCGAAATAGACCACTTATCCATTATATTTTGGGGTAAAAAATGTCTCGTCATTAACCCAAAAGACCACAAATACCCTTAAGAGTTAACAACCCATATTTATAGTTATGCGACAAGCCATGTGGGACTAATTCATCCATCTAAGCGTTGTCAACTAGGATTCCTACTGTTGATGGCCCTTCACAATATAGATTAACCATCGAGCTTCTTTAATTTCAAACGATTTGAAATAATTAGTTTTTATAAAATTTATAATGTTTTCAAGTTATGTTTAGGTATTTTTTTCAAGTTAGTATATATAATTATGTCTATAGATACTACCTTTTATAAATATATGTTTTACTAATTAGTTTAGTTTAATTAATATTTTATATTTTGAGTTAATTAGTTTATAATTAGGATTTCATGTGTTGATTAGTGGCTTGTTATGCCTCTACATGGATTGAATATTTCCGTGTTATATTCTCTGTTTGATGTTGGCATATTGTGGAAATGCTTGTTGCTTGTGTTCTCGTCATTTGCTGTCGCATTGATTCAATATAGTAGCTAGTCTTAGTTGCTCCTTCTCTTATATTATGTGTTTTTTTCAATCACTTGAAAAAGATCTTTCACATACTAATTTGTTCTCCTTCTTTGTTGTGAACCCATCCGAGTCCATTTTGGATCCAATCTTTGCATTTCATCGAGTTAAACTCCTTTATCGAGTCGGCCTTAATCTTGTTTGGGTGAAAGAAAAGCTGATGTGTATGCAAGGGAAGCTAAATTACAGGTTGAAATGGAGCTGATACAAGTCTCGAGAGCCAAGAATTGAATTGTATACATTGGATATATATACGGCAGATTTAGCAATATACATGATATACAGTGACTAAAATGGGCCAAGACAGGCCCACATGATGCAGCAGACCATTTTAGTAGTATTTTAGGATAGGTTTGGCCTGCTAAACCAAACAATTTTTGAATTTGAGCAAAAGGGCTCAAGTTTAAGATCGTTCTTTACTTTATTATTGGTATTTGCTTACTCTTAATTTTGGATTAATTCTAACTTTGAATGGTTAGATTAACTTAATTAAATCCCCTAAAAATAAATCTTTTTTGTGTTGATTTACTATTTAAATGTCTATCCTTTACTTAGTCATTTTGACAAAGTTCACCTTCTTTCTAGAATCATTTTAAATGTTTAAGTTCATTTCTTTTCAAGTGATTTCTAAATGTCTTTATTTCCTATAATTATTTTTCCCAAAGCTAGTCAAATAAAGTTTACAAATCGTCGGATAATCGCATGTTTGCGGACATTTCAAGTGCTTTGAAATTTCTTGAAATGAAAATAAGAACCTCGTACCCTTTCTTTGGCATTTCGAGAGATTTTTTCTGTTTTGAAGTTTTTTGGAATTAACTTAAAAGTTATCTTAATTTCTTTTAAAAAAATTAAGTTGCAACTCCTTAAAAAAAAATGGGTTTCCCTTTAAAATTGAAATCAATTTTGAATACCGGCTTTTTCTTTCATAAAACGCCCACTAAATTATGGGTCATTAATTTTGACCGATTTATAACTCAAACCCTATCCCATACTAGGATAGAGTATTGAAAACAATAATAGTTGATATAAAAAACAAGAAATACAGTAATACAACTAGTAAGATGGCAAACACCAACCACCCTAATCAAGGAAAACATCACAATACCTACTTAACTTTTATTCTAATACGTGTCTTCCACACTCTCCTATCTAAGATCATGTCCTTGGTGATCTGAAGTTGAGTCATCTCATGTCTTATCACTTCTCTCTCCAATTCTTTTTTATCTACCTTTGTCTCTCCTCGTACCCTCTATAAGCAACCTTTTGCACCTCCTCACACGTGCATCCACACGTCTCCCCTTCACATGTCCAAACCATCTCAATCTCGTTTCTCTCAGCTTGTCCAGAGGCCACTCTCACCTTATTGTGAATATCCTCATTTCTAATCTTATCAATCCTTGTATTACCACGCATCCACCCCAACATCATCATATTAGCAACATGCATCATGCTGATAAGACTATACAATCGATCTAATGTGGTCCAATTTTTTTTGGACAACATGAATGTGACTAGTAAAAGCGTAATGTATCATGCAACGATCTTTTAAGTTCGAAAGTAATTCTCTTGATTTTGGTTCACTACTGGTATTGTTACAAAATTATCAGAATTATATTTTGTGCGCACATTGGAGTGTGAATCAAACCCAAGTTTGTACACTAAGGGGTATTTTGGTAGTTATATTATATGTGAGTTATGTAGGTATCAGGTAAGTAACACTATATTTCATAGTTGATGAAGAGATAAATTATTATGGACACAAAACAGAGCATTTGTGACAATGATGATGATACATATATAGTCGAGTCCAACTAGCTTGTGATTGAGGCATAGCTACTGCATTCTAGAAATCAACAATTCAGGAAGACATACATTTTTTTCTAAACAAAGAAACTATAGAAATCAGGATTCTAAGGTGATGATTCTAGTTAGAGGTGGAGCCAAAAAATTTAGCTCACGAGTCTTGATAAATTATTTATACATATAAATGGTTCTTTAACACAATAACATGATTTGAGTCAAAGCTACTCATACCTTTGGTGGCTCCGCCCCTACTTCTAGTCCACGTGCAACTGTATTTCAGGGTCCCCTGTTTGGTCATGGACTCGAGCAATCGCAGCAACAGTCTGATACACTTTGCATTGTTGGCCTTTGATTTGGAATGAATTTCATGCAATCACTTGCAAGTTCAAGTAGCTGCATTATAATATTATCAAACCCTTGGCCTAACAATAATTTATCCACATCAAGAGGACTTTTTATTTTACTATTATTATTTATTACTTATTTAAGACTATAAATTTAAAAAATAATCTGTAACACCCCGACTTTTCAAAACGTCTAAATTAACTCGTATATTCGTGGAAAGACAAGGAGGGTGAGTAATA